TTTTTTTAATATAGTTAGTAATTTATGTATCTATAAATGATGTGCAACCGTCGCAAGGAACTCTATATGACTTAAACGTATTCCACACAAATTGTTGTTTTATTTTTGTCTCTTAGTTTTTTCTATCCCGGCTGGCCTTAACTTTGGACGAATATCGACTGTGAACATACTTAATCTTTGGCGACTAGCAAAAACTTAAGATTCTGTCAAGATTTTTGCGTTTTTCTTTTCTACAACACGAGACGTCATGTTTCAGTTGAAAAGTCAATCATGATCAGTCACGCGAGTGAATGTTTTGCAAGAAATGTAAGAAAATTAAAATTTCGATGTATTCCAGTTTGAAAGAAAAAGTGCAAGTGAAGACCTATAATTCTTCACAGAAGAATAAATAAAATGTAACCGGTGGCAGTTGCACCTGCATCTTCAGTTTTAAATCAATTAGGCTCGGTTAATTAAAGTTTATGCAAATTAATAAGATATAAGACATTCAATCGCTATCTTCTCACTTTGCACCAGTACCGAAAGAGTAATTTGCGAGAGTTGAGCTTGCAGCTCCACTTTAGCGGAACCAGGAGAATATTCATTTCAACCAGTATCTTCTGTTGAGATGTGACAATTTTTAACTTTTGAAAAAGTCCATTTTCAGTAATGTTAGAAATTTTAAAGATGCAATGTGAAGACAAAAATGTTTTTTACCTCCCGGAATTTTTATCCGGTGGATTTGCGGCATTTACAAATGAGTAAAATGTAATCAGGTGTCTGAAAGTGTCCCCCTGAAACCATTGTCAAGAAATCGGCCTGAAGCAATGTGATTCATTCAAAGTATGAGTTAAAAATAAAACATGTTCAAACAATTTGTGCATTTCTTGAAGTACTTAGTAACTGACAAAAATATTTGTGGCGATCTGAATGTTTTTGGAGGGAAATGATAGACGCACAGAAAGCTGTCAACAACATGCCTCAACCGACTAATGTTACTTTTCACTGACAGTCAATGAAAATTAAATCATTAAGCTGAAACGAAGTAAATAGGCTCGACCAAGTTTGAAGCATGCTGCATTGCATACATGATAAGTGCTAATAAATTGATTTGTCTTTAAAAGGACTGTTAGGTCCTGCAGCTTATAAAAAGGTCGTGTTGTGAAAATTAGTGCCCATGAAATTGAGCATGTTACAAAACACGTTATTTTCGAGTCCATTGAGAGGCGTCCCAAGTTCACGTCTCGTGCAAGAGTGAAGGATTATTTCATGAAAGCGTCACGCCTTGTGTGACGCGGTGTTAGTTACGCGAACAACCGTTGAGAATTTGAAGCGTTATAAGGCGGAATAGTATAAAATGTGGTCCATTTAAAACACTAAACATTCCGAAATATGAATATTTTACACGTTAGTTTAAAAAAACTAACTCAATCCTTGTGTTTTCGTTATGTTTTTTGGTGATTTCTCCTGTTTTGGGCTTGAAAATCACCAAAAAACACAACAGACACACAAGGAATGAGTAAGTTTTATTAATATCATGTGTAAAAATGTTCATATTTCGGAACATTTAGCGTTTTAAATGGACCATATTTTGTTCCCCATACCATTCCTTGTAACGCATTCAAATTCTCAACGGTTGCTCGCTTAACTTAACACCGCGACACAACGCGTGACGCCTTCATGAAATAATCCTTCGCTTTTGCTCGAGACGTGAGCTTGGGATACCTGTGGTCCATTATGCCTGCAAAATCAGTATAGATGAGGGTTCTCCCCTAATTTATTTTTAATCGTATTTCTGCGCCGTTGATTGCATAAATGAAGAATCTGCGAGTGTGTTATTTATAGATTCCTATAAACTGTTTATAAGCAGACAATTTTGTCTAAATTCCTTTTGTGTTTTGGGTTTCGATCCAAACCTGGAACCACGGATTTTTTTCCAATGTGAAATAAACTTGAATATGCAGTTTCTAGCTTTCAACATTTTTTTAAATTCTTCTCTCCTCGACCCCTAATCGACTCAAGTTAAGCATTTTCATATAAGCTTCGATTCTTCAAACTTTCACGTCAGACACTCTGTTTCTTCGTTTGTTTTCTTTTTTCTTTTTTAGGGGTGGCTCACAATTTTTTTTTCTTGACTGGCTGGGCTTGAAGGCTGGCTATTCGGTGCTTGGTAATTTGGCGGTAAATTCCAAAAACAAAATTAGCGTACTGTCATCTGAGAATAAATGAAAATTGAAATCATTTGCCTTTCAGTTTAGTTGTTACTATCCTTTCCAGTCGTTTCAGCATCGTGATCAAAATACAGATTTAGCATTTGCTTTGGTCCTTACTTTTCAATTGACCTCTTCTGAATGACATTGACCTTCCTTCGACTGGTTACAGCGGTTTCTAGGCGTCATGTACGCCCTAATTGACTCGGAAATCCGCCTTTACCATAATTGCCTCGACAGAAAATCCTTTCATGTCGGACTATAGTGCAAGAACGTGACAAACACGCCATGAACAACTAACGTAAAAAATGGGTCTTTCGATTTCCCTTTTGAGCCATGATTTAGTTTGCGTGTTTGGAATTTTTCGTGAGTGTTTTTTGCTGTCCGCACTTAAAATAAAATCACGTTTTAAATTCGTAAAGTGCCGACGTGTTTTTTGCATTCTGTCTTGGTCAATAACAGTTGTTTTTACGTCAGTAAGAGAGCTTAACGTTCGCAGAATAAATTAGAATTGAAAAAAAAGAAGCTTTTAATTTTCAAACTTAGCGCATTAAAGTCAGTGGTAGCCACGGGAAAGAACAAAATACACTCTGAGATCCTCTTCAATCATGAAAAATGTTAAACCACAATAGATAAATCCCAAATAATTCCCAGTAAATCCTTGTCTGTCATTTTTCGGGCTGCTCATGTTAAATGCGTGTTCTGTTGACGCCATACACTGTGTGCCAGAGGTCCGAGGAATCAGAGGTGGGATTGCAGGGCTGATCATAAAGCAAGTCATATTGGTAAGTTGTTTTGTTTTATTGCTCGACTTATTGCATCTCAGTGATTGATGTCGATCTCCTTTTTAAGTATTTTCAGTTCTTTGCATGGAAAGCAATCAAATAATTCGAAAGCTCTTGAAATCAGTCGTCTTTCAGTGAACTTATCTTGTCTTCACAAAATCAACTGAATGTGGGCTGCTCTGAGTTCTTGTCAAAGTGAAACTAGGGAGTTTCTTTTTCTTCCAACAGGTATTAAAGTCATTCTTACTTAAGAATGGTTGCAATATCAGTATCTTACGAAAAACGTTTTATAGGTAATCGTCTTTGTCATCGAATTGAACATGTTGGAACTGTGTACAATTCATTTTGGCACGGAAAGGTGCCTCGTCGTTCAGCGTAAGTAATCACAGTGAAACTAAAATTTGTCATAAAGAGCTCAGCCGGCTTCATGAATATCCAACCTTTTCCGCTTAGTGAGCCGAGACAGGCCTGTCAAGTGCCAGCAAAAGCACAATTGTCTTTGTGTGAGTGAGGAATCGAAATTGTTTGCAGAAGAAATTTATTTACCTACTGATGTTGACACCATTATCGAAAGTCAAGTATTTGTATGGATTCCTGCGAAACGAGTGCATACAATATTACTGATTTCTGATTACTTTGAAATTTAACCCTAAGGTATCTAAGTGTAACCGATGTATCTAAGTGAAACCAATAATGTGTATTTACTCCTCGTAAATTGAGAGCAGAATCAAAATTAAGACAGTTATTTTGTGGTTTCACAATTTAATGCGTGAAAGAATGACTAAACTATTATTATAATCTCTTATATTTTATACTTTTCCATTAATCTAATTTTTCTGAAGTGTTTATGAACCATATAAGAGATTATATGGTTCATATAAGAACCATATTCTTCTTCAAAAGATTTTTATTTTCTTACGTAATGATCTGATACTAGCACTGTCCATGTGGGATGGATTATTGAAACGACAGTTAAGACTGGCGAGACTAGCGTTGTGGTGCCACATAGAACAATCACCACAGTTTAATGGCGTTAAATAGTTCTTTTTATTAGTTTACTCGCCTTAATTTGTTTTAAACTCTTGAGAAAACTGGCTCGATTTTCACCAATATTAATTAAAGTTACAAGGCTTTAACTAACACAATACGTAACTTTCCTATGACCACATACTTCTTTTGACTTTCAGATTCAAAACGTCTGGAACTATTTTACGACGATTTGTACTCGATTCAACAATTTCATGATGCCAGAGACGAGGTTTTCGATGATTTTTCCAGCAATCATAATCACCTTGGCTTTCTTTCACATGGTCACAGGTAGCCCAGGGTAAGTCGGACTCGCTCATGAAATAAAAATTCGAGTAAATCGCCCATTCTCAGTTAAATATGTCAGATTGCAATACTAGCGGTCAAACTGTTTCCTGGAAACTGAGAATTGTTTCAGGAATCACAAAGTTAACTTAAGTCTCTATAATAAACATCACTCTTAGTTTGTTTACATGTTCCTTGTCAAAGTAACATTTTCCCCTTTATTCGGCAGAGCTGACCCAGGGTCGACCCTCATTAGATCCATAAAGGTTTGTCACTTTCAATTTGTAATTTCTACTCTATTAAAGAGTTGGGCTCCTCATAACAAAAGACGAAAGGAATGTCTGGCGATTGGAATGGTTTAACTCTATGATGGACTGAATACCATTGTCAGCCTGTTGTGTATTTATGTATGTTTTTCTCTTCTTGTTTTAACTCAGGATGCTTCCAAAAGAATAAAAGTCAAGAGAGCTGGATTTGGCAGGGGTCTAAAGGAATGCCGAAAGCAATTTAAAGACGAGCTATGGGACTGCAGTTTTTATTACGAAAACATAACTAGAGAATTACCAGGTAAAAGTTCTTTTAATCATTTCATGCATCAGACCAAGTAACTTGTCTCTGCTTCTAGCATGACTCAATAATTAAGGGATGTTCAAGGTTTTTCTATTTCGGGATTTTTGTCGTTATCCTTTGATCGTCAAAATAGTAATAACAACAATAATAGTAACAACGGTTATGGTGTTAATGATTATACTAATAATCGAAATGGCTGCCTAGACTGGAATTATGATTTTTAAAAGTAATTTAGAGAATTACGTATTTTCATACAGGTATTTTACCATCCAACTGTGCTTCGTAGAGTACAAGCAACGTTATTTGTATTTTGACTCGCCGTAAGGGCTCGTCAAAATACGGCACAACTCGTAAAAATACTCGGGCTA